TTCTTTGATCACAAAAAAATCATGCTAGATATTTGGTAACTAGAAGATAACATTAAATTTTCCAAACTCACTTCAAGATAATCCACTGGTCAGAGAGGATGTCTCAGAGAAAATCAAAACACAAGAATTTGTTGGACACAGGTAAGTCAGTGCCAAGAGGGAAATTTACAGCAATAAATATTTACATTAAAAAAGAAGAAAAGTCCCTAATTAATAATCCAAGCTCTCACCTTAAAAAATGAGAAGAGAAAAATGAACATAATGTAAACAAATATAGAAAAAAATAAACAGCAGAAATTAATGAAATTGGAAAAAGAAAATTAGAAAATATAAGTAAAATAAAAGATGGATCTTTGAAAAGATCAAGTCTCTAGCAAGAAAGAACAACAACAAAAAAAATAAAGGCACAAACCACCAACATCTGAATGCAGTAACAGCAAAAAGAAAATAGGGTAATAGTACAAACAAGTCTATACACGTAAATACAGCAACTTAGATAAAATGAACCAACTGGTCATGAGCACAAACTATCACCATTCACCAAATATAAAACAGAACCTTCGACTAGCTCAATAACTGAAACTGAATTTTAAATTAAAACACCCTAAAAAGAAATCTCCAGGTCCAGACGGTTTCACTGGAAAATTCTACCAAACATTTAAAGAAATAACACCAACTCTACAAAATGTCTTCCAGAAAGGGAAAGAGAAGAAAACACTTCCTCACTCATCTCATGGGGCCAGGTACCAGGGTAAGATCTGTCCATCACTGCCACTCTACTCATGGAATTTAAAGTCTAACGGGAAGATGAACACTTAGTCAAGTGCACTCTGTGCTATGAGGGAGAGCAGAGTACTGTACGAGCCTGGCAGGAGCCTCTTGTTCCATCCTGGCGGGGGCTGAAATCAAGGAAGGTATTAGAAGGCCACCTGATGCGAAAAACTGATGCACTGGAAAGGAGTTGGGAAAATGCTGGGAAAGGTTGAAGGTGGGAGGAGAAGGGGGCGACAGAGGATGAGATGGTTGGATGGCATCATCGATGTGAGGGACACGAGTTTGAGTAAACTCCAGGAGTTGGTGATGGACAGGAAAGCCTGGCAGGCTGCAGTCCATGGGGTCGCAAAGAGTTGGACATGACTGAGCTGAACTGAATTAGAAGTCATTTCAGATGTTGACACAAGTCAGGAATACAGTCACTGTAATAATGGAGATTTGTAAATACAAGAAACAGTTAAAAGAGTACAAGGTAATTGCCAGTGGAATGAGAGGTTGGGGAGGTGACCGGTAGAGAGCCATAGTGACTGTCATAAGCCTTTCACCACCAATTAACTTTTTAAATGATACATAAACATCACCATGATAAAATACAACCAAAACCAAACTTCACAAAATAATACAGGAACACAATTTTTAAGTCACAAACCATTTCCCTCTGCTGCTATTCCCTAAACACAACTATCAATCAATACAAACCCTGGAAATAAAGCAAGAGTCAACCAGGAAAGCTCTGGAGGGTGGTGAGAATGCAGCAGTGAGAGGAAGAGAGCTGGGTGGACTGGGGACCCAGACCTGGAGGAACACAGTGGGAGGACACCTTATGAGACCCCACCCAACAGAAGGACACAGGCTCGGCACTGCCTACTCCATCCTAGCAAGAAAAGGCAGCCCAGGAAGGCCCTTATTCCCCTGAGAGTCCACCACCAGCAGGACAAGATGGACAAGTAGCTTTAGGAGGTAGTGTCCTACCCCACCGGCCTGTGACTCCCACATCTCACCCAGGGACACAGGGGCATCCAGGTGGCACCGGTTAGGGCCCCTGCCACAACAAGAGGTTAGAGGCCTTAGACATCAATGCCTTCCTTGATGTCTCCATGTCCCGCGAGCCTGAGACTCCCCTCCCTCATTGGGGGGAGGGGGGGATGGGGGGATGAGGCAGGGGCAGGCAGCATCAACAAACACAGAAACAGCATCTTCCTCAAGATGCCAGAGCAGCCAGGGGCACAAGCAAAAAGGATTCAGCCACAGAGAGTCTCTTGGCCACAGTGGTGCTGAGTCTTCTCTCCCACCAAGACACACCAGGGAAGTCAGAGAGCACAGATGGAGAGGAAACAGCTACAGCCACTGTCCATCCAACACAGTCTTGTCAACCATATGGGATGACACCACCACCTCTCACCAAGAGACCCTGGGCCTGGGGAAATCCCTTCTCCTCGGCAGCAGAGACAAAGTAAGAGCTCTGGTAGCATGACATAAACCCAACAGACCAAAAATCAGTACAGAGGCCCTGTGAATTAAACTGTCATTGGAACTAAGACCAACAAAGGTAGGCCAGGACCTATGTGCTAAATCTAAACAGGGTTATCATCTGTTAGAATAAAAGATATCAATAGGCCCTGCATTCTCCTAATATAAAAGACAAAGTATCAAGGAAACAATCAAAAACTATCCATCATCCAAAGAATCAAAACACTGACAATGTGAATTAGAAAAGACAACCAACTGACATCAATCCTAAGATTAACTCAGATACAGAATGGTGTTAACAATTATTTCAAGCACCAAACATAAAAATGCTTCAACAATCCATTTCAAATTCTCTTCAAACAAACAGAAATTATAAAACTTAAAAATACAACATTAGGAACAAAACCTCACTGGATGGGATCTATGTGAAAGTGAAAGTCACTCAGTAGAGTGAAAATGACAGAGAACAGAATTAGGGAAATTGAGAACAAATAAACAGTATTTACACAGTCTGAACACAGAGAATAGACACTGGGGGAAAAAAGCCCAAAAGAATTATCTAAAACTAACAAAAGATCCAGCATCTGTATCATTGGAGTCCTCAAAGTTTATAAGAAAGGGGTGTGTGTGAAAGAGTACTTGAAGAAATTATTACTAAAAACTCCCTAAATTTGGTGAAACAAAACCCAACAGACTCAAGAAGCTTAGCCAACCACAAAACAAATTAAACCCAAAGAAATCACACCAAGATACTCATAATTAAACCTCTGAAAACTAAAGACAGAAAAAACCTGAAAGCAGCCAAAGAAAAATGATGAGAGAACATCAATTTGAATGACAGCGGACTTCTAATCAGAAACTATGAAAGCTGGACGGAAGTGGAACAAGAGTTTTCAGGTACTAAGAAGTATCGACAAGGAATTTTCTATCCAATAAACTATCTTTCAGAAATAAAGGAGAAATAAAGACATCATAAGATGAAATCTCAAGACTGCCTATGGGAAGGTCCTAAAACAAAAGGGAAATTAAAAAAAAGAGAAACATGGAACAGCAAGAAGGAAGAACAAAACAAGTAAAAATATGGGTACGTTCAATAAGCTATCTTTACCATCACAAGTCTTATAAACCATACTTGATAATTTAAACAAAAAGTTTAACACCATCAGATACTCAGGACATGATTTTTTGTGAAGTTAATTTGTGCTTTTATTTGCCAGTATAATTTAACTATAGTGACCTGCAAACTTTTTTTTAATCTAAAAAATACAGTTTACTTCACAATCCAACAAACAAACATACATATATAAGGACATGACATTTAAACTGCAGGGGGAGAGAGGGAAGTAAAGGAACCAAAATTTGTGAAACGAGTAGCCTAAACACACCAACGAAAGACAAGACACTGACACACTGAACAATAGAAAAACACGACCCAATAGCAACCCACTTCAAACTCAACACAGACAGGCTGAACGCTCACACGATGCAAACATTTATCCACAAAAAGCAGAAGTGGCTACACTAGTCTACTGAAGGAGACTCCAGAGCAAAAAAAAAGTTACCTGAGACGACAACAAAAAAAATATCTGCCTGAAGACACAGAGATCCTAAATGTATATATACCACATTACTGAGCTTTAAAATGTCTAAGGCAAAAACTGGCAGATGAGAACTTTGAGGGAAATCTATTGTGAAAGAGGTGGCACATTTTCAAAAAATATCTCCTAAAATCAACTACTTAGAACAGTTACTCTCATAGGCAACGACAGGGAAGAAAGTAGAAACCATACCTCTCCACTTCAGGGCCGAACAATAAGAGGAACAGGGCTCCTTACTAACTCCTCCTGTACCCTCAACAATTCTACAAGAAAAAATATTGCCCCCATTTTACAGCAGAGGAAATTAGGACTTACAGTTTAAGTTACCTAAGATCAAACAGCTAGTATGTAAATGAACCAAGATTCAATTCAGCTCTGTAACATTATAATTTGTACTCTTGACCATATGGCCTCTCAAACAGCCCAGACCAAAAATTATTCTAAAACTTGGCTCCTGAAGCAACTGGATACTAAAATCTGTACCTTTTCTGTGTGCTGAAGGTAGACTGCTTCTACAATCCTTCAGAAATAAAATTTTAACAACTATTTCCCCTTTTTATAGGTTTCTTTTCCTAACCACTGTATCATGGGGTAGTCGTCCCTTTGGGTAAGAAGTTAAATACGAACTAAATCCAACTAGGGTATGAGATTTCCATTTTAAATCAAAGGTCTCCGCTTTTAAATTCTACCACTTTAATAACTGTGCTCACATGAAACAATTCAACCTCTCTGAATCTCCGTTTCCCATTGTTAAAGAGCAAAAATTCTTGTTAACAAAAGGTACTTTGTAGATATACGTTTAAGTAAAAAGTGTTCTCAGGAAACAAACTGAAATGTCTTCCCGTGCTCCTCCACCTGTGAAGTGACTCCCAACAAGGTCTGCATTTCTAAGCCTCACTGGGAGTTATGTCTGCCATCTTCACGATCTCCCGGAGACGCTGCAAGTTTCGGAGACCAACAACTGCGAGACGTGGGACCGTGCTGCCTGCGCTAATAGAGGCAGCCCCCTCTCTCCGCCGAGCCCGTCCGGGGCGCTCCGGGGCGGAGGCCCCCTTGCAGCGCGGACGCCCTCCCCAGGTACAGGAGCGCCTGAGCGGCCCCCGTCGGGCCGGCGGGGAGGGGCACCGGGGCGGGAGGCTGGGGCGGCCCCGTCGTTACCTGCTGGGCCGGTCGGCCCCCGGCCCGGGCCCAGCTGCGCTGAAGTAGGCCGCGCGTTTGCGGTTGGCCGCGGCCACGGCCGCCGCGCTGCGCACCGGGTACAGAGGGATCTGCTCCGCCATGCTCTGGCCGCTACCTTCACGCCCCTCCCCTATCCCCCTCGGTTCACCGCCTTTCCCCGCCCTCTCCCCTCAGCGCCAACCCGGCTGAGGCACCGCCCGCGCGCCCTGCCCCTCCACCGTGCGTCGAGGCCTGATGGCGTCACCACGCGTCGGGGCCCGATGATGACACCATCCGCGAAAGTGAGGTGCGGGGGACCGAGGCTTCCTAGGCCCCGCCCCCGGCGCGGCAGGGCCCGGTGACGTCATTCCGCGGCGAGGGCGCGCGAGGGAGGTGGTGGCGTTCAGAGACCCACCTCCGTTGGCGACCAATTACGTCCTTGGGCGGGGAAGGCCCGAGCGGAAGCCGTGTGGTCCAAGCTAGGCGGGAGGCAGGCATTTCTTGAGCTCTCCTGGGCCGAGGCGCTGACCTGTTGGTCTGGGGTGCGGCGGATGCTGCACGGCTGCTGTGACCCTGCCCGGGGAGGCCTTCTTGGAAGCCAGATGGAGGGCACTGAGGGCCTTGCCGCATAGGAACCTGACCCACCTCCTTAGCGCAGTGTGCAACCTGCGCGCCTCGCCCGTGCGCACCCGGTGACAAATGAAGCTGGTGGCCAGCGCCTTCGTGTCCAGCTAGATAATCACCCTCAACAACTGACATTGTTACACCAACCAACTAGATAACCACTGTCAACAGCAGACATTGTTTACACCAACCGACTAGATAACCATTTTCAACTGATATCGTTAACACCAATAAGCTGGAGCCACTCTCAACAGCTGACACTGTTACTCCAGCTACATAACCACTCCCAACAACCCTAAAGGGTGTAGTTTATTGTCCTACAAGTTTTTAACCACTTTTATAACCCAGAAATCTCACCCTAACATTCCTGTTAAATTGCATCTAAACACATAGGTCCTGAAATACTCTGAACAGCTCTTAATATCTTTCACACCATATCTTCCCTCTTAGTTACTTGAATAAAAATTTTGTCACATCTTTGTTACTTCATAAAAGTTGTTTTACCTCTCAAAAATTATAATTTAGCAAAAAGAAAGGCAAATTTTCAAATATTGAAGGGCTTCCTTATGTATTTTTTTAAATGGATGACAGGTTATCAAATGGTGGAATTTAAATGCCATTCCATGCATTTGAAGGAGTGATGTCACAATTCGGTTTTTAAATGTAAATACTTACTTAAATGCCAAAGATGCATCATTTGTAACTATTTACACTTACAATAAAAACTGCTGTCCACACAAAGTGTGTGAATGAATACATACTTTTTCAAAATTATTTTAGGGAGTCAGTGAACAAAAAAAAACTCTGAAGATTGTGCCTGGCAGGCTACAGTCCACTGGGCTGGAAAAGAGTCAGACATAACTTAGCAACTAAACAACAACAAATTGTAATGATCAGTTTTTTTAAAAAAAACTACCACCAAAAAATGAATCTTGTAAAAATCCATCTTTAAATATATCTTTTATAGGACAATTTTAACATTTATGATTTCTTACTGATGCTTTCTTTGCTTTGCTCTCATGGAACTCTCCCTTGAGAGAAATGCATTTTTTCTCTCAACAGGTGAAAGTGAAGTCCCTCAGTCAATGGACTCCTTGTGGCCCCATGGACTGTAGCCTAGCAGGCTCCTCTGTCCATGGGATATTCCAGGCAAGACTACTGGAGTAGGTTGCCATTTCCTTCTCCAGGACTCAAGGGATAGTGAAGTTAAACAAAAAGTCTGTGTACTGCCACGCCCTCTAACATACATCTGGATTCAGAAGATCTCAGCTTCACTAAAACACATCATATTTCATTCCTTGAATAGAAATATATTTTAAAGGGGAAAGATTAAGTACCTTTATTATAAAGGAGAAAAATGTAACTACAACAATAAGGTTTTTTTTCATTTCACCACTTAAATTGAAAATGTTGGTCACTCAGTCCTGTCCAACTCTTTGCGACCCCATGGGCTATAGCCCGTCAGGCTCTTCTGTCCATGGGATTCTCCAGGCAAGAATACTGGAGTGGGTTGCTATTCCCTTCTGCAGGGGATCTTCCTGGCCCAGGGATCGAACCTGGGTTTCCTGCATTGCAGACAAATTCTTTACCATCTGAGCCACCCTCAGATGGTAAAGATGGGGGTGGGGGCGGGAACTAGAATAAGGTTTTCTTTCAATTCATCACTTAAGGCTCTCACATTATAGCAAGTTCATAATTTAAAACTAATTTTTTTTGACGGGTAACTTATTCTAGCTTCTCATAGTCTGAAAGAATTTAAGTCAACCACAAAAAATGTGTGTGTGCATGCATATGAGTGGGTACGTATATACATGGCATTTATTTTTTTGCCACATGTAACTTCAACCGTACTCAGGAAATCCTGATAACTTGAAAAAGAATTTCAGGTTGTTTGGAATCCGGCTGTTTAGATCAATGTAGAGCATTCATAGTTTTAGAGCATTCATAGTTTCCTTTAAACCACTCATTCAATTACTGCTTTGTAATGAGCCATAGATGGAAAAATGCAGTTAATAACTTTTCGTAGAGAGTTTCAAAGGGTTAGCTAAAGAATAAACTGGAATCAAGCTACTCTTTGGAGTCTCGTTATAGCTGGCTGGAATTTGGAATCAATAAGTCTGTTCTATATCAATAGCTGTGTGGCTGACAAGGTCTTTCTACCCATAATTTTAAAGTCTGAGAATCTTTCTAGTCACAATACCATTGTCTCAATAATGAGATGCCATATCTGATACACCCTGTCCACGTCCCCAGCAGCCCCTGGTGTCCAGTGTCCCTTTTCCTAGGAGGGGGCCTCCTTGCCTGGCCCTGGGCCATTGGTAGCCCTTCTCTCCACAGCCCCCTGGGCATTGCACACATGTCCTGGTCCTGTCACTTCCTGCTTGTCACAGCCACACTGCAGGGATCTGAACAACTGTGGAAGGAACAGCCCTCCCACTTCACTGGGCTTCCCTGGTGGCTCAGCTAATAAAGAATCCACCTGCAATGCAGGAGACCTGGGTTCGATCCCTGGGCTGGGAAGATCCCCTGGAGAAAGGAAAGGTTACCCACTCCAGTATTCTGGCCTGGAGAGTTCCATGGACCGTGTAGTCCATGGGGTTGCCAAGAGTTGTCTATTCCAGCCAAGTCTATTCCTGTGAAATTTTTATTTCAGAAATTTTGGGGGGTTTCAGTTCTAAAATTGCCATTTAGTTTTTTGAAAAATTGTGTCAGTATCTCTGATGAGATGTCTTGTTTTCCATTTATTTAAAACATACTTCTTTTACTTCACAGAAATAGTTAATATTCATTTTAAAGTCTTGCCTGTGGGTTCCATCTTGGATTTATACTGAGATGTGGCTTCGTTGCTTCTCTTTCCTCTTGAAAACAAATTCCATTTTCTTGATGCTTCAGATGACAGGTCATTTTGGACTGATCCTGGACATTGTGAATGTTAGGTTGTAGAGATTCTGGATTCTGCTATTGTTCTTCAGTGAATGTGTTTCATATGCTCACAGGAGAGTTTTACGCTAAAATTCAGCTTTTTGATGTGACTACTGGTCTTGGTCTAGATCTTATTTCCTTAGCTGAGCTAACTTAAGCCTGTTTCACATACACATGGCTCAGGGTCTTTCAGAGACCACTGGAGGATCCCACGACCTTTCAAACCCAAACCTTGTAGCCACTTCATAATCCAAGGTCACCTGTGTTTTCCAGCCTCGTGGGAAAGTGAGTGCCTCCTTGCCTCCCTTGTGGGACTTCAGCATGCAAGACACATGATGTCTTGAAGGTGTCCTGAGGGCTTTGTTTCTCACCCCACCCAGCTGATCTCTGAATCAATTCACTTGTAATATCATAGCTTCCATCACATGTCCGACTCCGGTGATGATTAGTGGTACTGCCGTGGATGTCTGCAAACCTGAGGCTCACAGCACCCCTCCTTCACAATGGTCTGTTCTCCCACCGCACTCACCAAACATGCAGGAGAGGAGAAGCAGCAGTAATAACTGCTGTGATAACCACTGTGTTAGGTCTAATTTGCATCTGCGTCTAAAAGGACAAGAGCAATAGTCCTGGAGCTGCACATTAAACACATGAAACACAGGTGCTTTCCTGCAACACCCTCCCCTCAACTCTGAGCCCGTCTTCCTGGGAAGGATAGTTACAACTTGTCACCACACAAATGACACTGCACTTGCTGTTGACATTCTTTGATCGGATAAATTACTTGTTTTTATTATGCTAAAGACAGTTTCCATGAAACTTTCATACTGTGAGCATCTTAGTTTAAGTTGAGACGGAAAGGGTTGGAAGTCTTGATGATGGACAGAAATGTGAGTCCTGAAGACGCATGTCCATGATTGTTTGTAGAATAAAAGTCAAGGCTTTGGTGTCTGGTCACTTTTGTCACTGTTCAGGGTGCCCCATGCTCACTTAACTGTCATCCCATGGGGCGTGCAGGCCCTTGTGGACCCAAACACAGTCACCCTCACTCTGCACCCCTGCAGGACAGAGCACGGACCTCGTGGGGCAGGGGCCACTTCTGGGTATTTTTAAGTTGGTGCAAACACCAATTTAGTGTTAGTTGGACCAACTTAGTGTTTAGTTGGTAGTTTTAGACTATGAGTTTTAAATCATTATAACTAGGCTCAAGCACATTTTATTAATGGGAACCATTACAATCAACACATTTTTGCCAATGAGAAATAAGTTCATTTATTCCCATAGCATAAAATGAATGAATGCTTGGAAAGTATTTTCTGCATCCTGCTGGTTGTGGAAGTGTTTTCCCTGCAAAAAGTTGTTGAGATGCTTGAGGAAGTGGCTGTCAGTTGGCGAGAGGTCAGGTGAATATGGCAGATGAGGCAAACCTTCGTAGTCCAATTTGTTCAATTTGTGAAGCATTTGTTGTGTGATGTGTGGTTGGACATTGTCTTGGAGAAGAATTGGGCACTTTCTATTGACCAATGCCAGCTGCATGCATTGAAGTTTTCGGTGCATCTTACTGATTTGCTGAGCATACTTCTCAGATGTAATGGTTTTACTGGGATTCAGAAAGCTGTAGTGGATCATTCCAGCAGCAGACCACCAAACTGACCATGACCTTTTTTTGTTGCAAGTTTGGCTTAATGACCCAGATAACCATGATGTTGTGATCACTCACCTAGAACCAGACATCCTGGAGTCTAAAGTCAAGTGGGCCTTAGGAAGCATCACTACAAACAAAGCTAATGGAAGTCATGAAATTCCAGTTGAGCTATTTCAAATCCTAAAAGATGATGTTGTGAAATTGCTTCAGTAAATATGCCAGCAAATTTGGAAAACTCAGCAGTGCCACAGGACTGGAAAAGGTCAGTTTTCATTCCAATTCCAAAGAAAGGCAATGCCAAACAGTGTTCAAACTACTGCACAACTGCACTCATTTCACATGCTAGCAAAGTAATGCACAAAATTCTCCAAGCCAGATTTCAACAGTACGTGAAACATGAACCTCCAGATGTTCAAGCTGGATTTAGAAAAGGCAGAGGAACCAGAGATCAAATTGCCAACATTCGTTGTATCATCAAAGAAAACAAGAGAATTCCGGAAAAACAACGACTTCTGCTTTATTGACTTCTGCCTTTGACTG